CGCCAAGACTACACTATAAAAAATATTAACAAAGACAGACAATATTTAATCTATTCTCAATTTGACAACAGACGTCAAGAACAAAAGTTTGACAATAAATAGTATGCATGCGTGTTGCGTCAAATACATGGTATGTAGTGTGTGTAATGTTTTCTTTATTGATTTAGTGTATCTTTTATGCATTATTTAAAAAAAAAATTAGCATTGTGCACTTCTTCTCTATATTCTCTATAAGTGTGGAAAATTTCATACTCCTCCGTCCGCGCAATTTTCGTAAAAAGGGATACAAAGTTTTTGCTTCACGTATTAATATATAGATTTTGAAATCAGGGGTCGGTGAAATATGATTTAAGGGGGTATGGTGGTTCACGTCGGTACTTGGTAATAATAGCACGGTAATCGTCTTGGAGTCCCATAAAACTGGCCTGAGCCCAATGGTAAAATGGATTCGTCAACGTCAAACAAAAAAGGTACTCTTAATGAGTATTCAGTTTTTTTTTTTCAATACAAAACATTAGACAAATTAGTGCTATAAATTTAGAATACAAACGGGGTCGATTATCGCGTCATGCGACCTTTCGTGCATCCGCGTGCGATATAACATCTCGAACGGGTCTCGACAGTATTAAACAAGATATTTTAATGCGAAACGTTCGATATTTGAATTACAAATTTTACCGGCTGTTGACATTTGACAGGTTGTTCCCACTGAGGCTCATAGCGGTATATAATTATAGAATGCAGCTCATTTTGAGGTCGAAGCTTCAGCAATCCAGATATCTCATCATTGAATTTTCTTCCATTACATTACGAATATTGATCAGGGTCTTTGAGAATTCGAAAGCCTATTCATGACCCAAGAGGTGCTCATACTGTATATTGCTATATATTTTTTTCTTTTTCCTACCTATGCTGATATCCTTGAGAGGCTATTTCAGCTTCTCCTTGACGTGTAGGTGAACTCACGGGGAACCGAGTGTGTTGCTAACACTAGCCCTAGCAAGAGCAGTGCTTCGCAGAATCTACAATCGGATCGGAAACGCGACTCACTGAGAAGATCCGGCGAGAAACTCAGTGGGCTGTGTATATGGGTTAATTCACTCGTCGAGTCGGAGTCCCAAGAAATAATGTAGTGGAGAGTTAATTCCAAATAATGACAGTATGTGGTAAAAAACGATCTCTGGAAACACAGTGTCAAGTTTCAAGTCAATCGGATGCATGGTTCAGTAGTTATAACGGAACATCCGTAAAAACCACTGTAGATTTATTAGTATAGATCATCAATGGTATAGATATAGATTAGACTAATATCCGAACTTGTTGAGACGGTTGATTGTTTGTCTGAATAGCGGTTGGGATATTTTTATTTCATAGCTAGGTTTAGTTTTTGTGCGACCTTGATATTAGTCAAACCTGGTAATTAATTTGCTAATATAAGTTTTCTAGGAGGGTAATTTTAAGCTCAGCTTCTACGTAAGTCGTAAGTTCGAGGGTAAGTTAGTACGAATTTCAATTAATAAACTAACAAAAAACCTTATTTTCTTCTATGTTGATAGTATGTCCGTTGAAGCAGTAGTTAAATGAAAATCTAAAGTGAAAACAATTTTTATTAAATAAATACATTTAATTCGGATAAGTTTATATTCGCGAACCGTAATGTTTACGTGGATTTTGATTTGGGTTCCATTGCGTGCGATGCAAAAGTAAATATTGTCATTTAAGTTTTCAAGCATATATTTTTTAATACTAAAGTGTTCGGTTTTAACGCTGTCCTTAATTTTTTTTATGGCGAATAGTTTTGATATATTCTTCATCGTAGAAGTCTTTAATTTTCACAAAAAAACAGGGAGTGGGTTGCTCTTGATATCTATCTTGAACACCAGTGGCATATTATATTTCACGACGGCCTCTTTTCAGCGAAGGTCACGAGGCAAACCTTAGGGGTTCGAGGCGCGTGGTACCCTACTATCACCCTAGCGCGCCGTCAGGGTGTAAAATCATCTGGCAGGCTGGTTATGAGCCAGTGGACTGTCTCGGGACACCAGTAGCACTGCCTGGGCGGACTTATGGACTGCGTATTGAGTTTGATTGATTGACTTGCCTTCCAGAACCTTCAAATCACCTCGAAGGTTCCATCAATCGGGTGCTCCTGGGGTGAGCCGCGCGTCTTGTAGCAGTGTTGAGTACGGTAAGCCCCTTACGCCGTTCGGGCTCTGACCTTGGGTAGTACAGACGCTTGGGCGAGAGTGTAGGGATCGTTTTGAAGTCGTCGTAGCCCAAAAGATAAGACGTCCGGTGCACTCATGTACCAACTTTTCTAATGAAATACGTACTCAACAAATGTTCACGATTGACTTCCACGGTGAAGGAATAACATCGTGTAATAAAAATCAAACCCGCAAAATTATAATTTGCGTAATTACTGGTGGTAGGACCTCTTGTGAGTCCGCGAGGGTAGGTACCACCACCCTGACTATTTCTACCGTGAAGCAGTAATGCGTTTCGGTTTGAAGGGCAGGGCAGCCGTTGTAACTATACTTGAGATCTTAGAACTTATATCTCAAGGTGGGTGGCGCATTTACGTTGTAGATGTCTATGGGCTCCAGTAACCACTTAACACCAGGTGGGCTGTCAACTTGTCCACCCATCTAAGCATTAAAAAAAACTCTAAAACTTTTCATGTAATGAGCATGGAAAACTGTTGTAAAACCGTTTTTAACTTCCATATACATACAGACTGTAGACGTGGTATGTATGTGGGTTTTCGAAACAGTTCTCTGATAGCGCACCGTTACTTACTACGATCCATTAAAGTTAATTTCCTGTGATATGAATGTTGGCGGCTAACGTGAAGATCAATCGTCGATCGTCTTGATTTTATTTTAGATCAATGACCGACCGACCGAGTTAGCTACTGACCTGAAGACGCATATATTATGGTTTTGTCGAAAATACTCTATTTTGTTTTTTTTTTATTGCATAGATGGCTGGAGGAGCTCACGGCCCATCTGGTGTTAAGTGGTTACTGGAGCCCATAGACATTTACAACGCAAATGCCGCCACCCATCTTGAGATGTGAGTTCTAAAGTCTCAGTATAGTTACAATGGCTGCCTCACCTTTCAAACCAAAACGCATTACTGCTTCACGGCAGAAATAGGCGGGATACCTACCCGTATGGACTCGCAAGAGGCTCTACCACCAGTTGAACCTTATATGTAGTTTAAAAACTATTATTTTATTCTATTCTATTATAATGTCTATTACTGGTGGTAGGACCTCTTGTGAGTCCACACGGGTAGGTACTACGGCCCTGCCTATTTCTGCCGTGAAGCAATAATGCGTTTCGGTTTGAAGGGTGGGGCAGCCGTTGTAACTATACCGAGATCTTAGAACTTATATCTCAAGGTGGGTGGCGCATTTACGTTGTAGATGTCTATGGGCTCCAGTAACCACTTAACACCAGGTGGGCTGTGAGCTCGTCCACCCATCTAAGCAACAAAAAATAAAAAAAATAAAAAATATTTTCATCAAATATCTATAGTCGTAGACGTAATTTAAAATAATTTTACCGTTTAAATGTCACGTTATTAATTAATTAATGTCATTAAATTATTTCCAACTTTACACTTTTCGTGGTCACGAGCTGACTAAAGTATTGTTTGCCGATATTTGGATGTTGTTTTGAATAACATCAACATTCTTATGTAATAATTGGGTTTTAAATTTTTAGTTCACGACCTCATTTAAAGTTATAGACTAGAAAAACAGAACACCTTATCACACAGGGTTGAAATGCCAATTAATTGTATTCAATCTAAATTTTAATAATGCACGCTTACTTCGCTACAGAAATATGTATTGTGGTATCTACCGGTGTGGGCCCATAATATGCGACCTCATTTCGTAATTATGTGGCGGTATTCGTGTGGTGATGGCCAAGGGCTTCACTCATCACCTATCATCAAACGTAACGTAAGCTCGTTCTCCTATTAACCCTATTAAAGATATTTAACAACGAAATTGAATTCATTAGTTCAAGTGAATGAATATCACAGTTATTTATTATCTATACTTAATATTATAAAGAGGAAATATTTGTTTGTTTGTTTGTATTGAATAGGCTCCGAATCTACTGAACAGATTTGAAAAATTATTTCACTGTTTGGAAGCTACACTATTCCCGAGTGACATAGGATATAATATATTTTGAAAAAATTAGAGATCCTTACTAAAACTCCAAAAATGTAATCCAAGGTGTAAAAAAATGACCTAAAATATTCTTTACATCGCGTACATCGCATACAATGTACTACGACTTTGTAGAACACATTATTATTTACAAAAAGTTTTTATGATTGAAGGATTACTGGTGGCCCGGAGGCCTTTCCAGTTTCACCAGGACAGGTGGGCGAGCAAAGGCTCAGCCAAGAGGGGTGGGATTTGCTAACAGCTGCCCGAGCGCCTCCGAAGGAGACCTAACAACTCAAGAGTAGCTGCTTCGCGAATGAATCTACTACCGGATCGGAATCGCGACCCGCTGAGAAGATCCGGCGAGAAACTCAGCGAGCTGATTCATGGGTTAGGTTGCACGGCGAACTCTTTGTCGAGTTCGACGAGTACGGTTACCGAGGTCCCTAAGCCTGCTCCTAGAGCTGAAGGCGTCTAGTGCAAAGGTTATTGGATCTGATGGATCCGTAAGGACGTGTCTAGGGCGTCGGCGGTGACTGGCTCCTGCATGATCAGGATTCGGTACAAAAAGTGTCGCGACAGCATGTCTAACTATTATAGTTATGCCGTAATAAGTGTTCTTTTATTTTTTTAAATAAAACTAAGTCAACTATCGTTGAAAATTTTGTTTGCCGTTGAACCCAAGCGGAGCCGGAGCGGGCCGCTATTTATAAATACATATAAACAAGATAAATTTCACCGATGCATCACAATTGACAGTTAGCACGTCGCTTTGACGCCTCATTAATTATTTATGACAACTCATTATTACCTTTAGCTGTCAATCGCATCGGCACTTCGCTTTCAAGTGAATCAACACATGCACTTTTCACACGAGAGAAAATCAAAATCGCATCGAATTTGCACGTTCTTCAGAATCGCCACCCGAAAACTTTAACCAACCAATTTTGACACTTTATTATTTTTACGTTACACACACGCTTTAGGTTTTTTTTTTTTTTAATTACTTTAAAGTAGTGGTAGTCCTGCTTCGTGTGATATTTTAGGTTCGTTTACACCGTGTTTAATTAAAAAGACGCGCGAACGCTAAGAAATGACCTAGAGAACTGATAGGAGCGAACGACTGGCACGCGCTCAAGCGGAATGTGCATTCGAAAACACGTCAAGTTTGTTAATCTTGATACTTGAACGTATTATTTCTGTAAAACTTTAGGAATCGGTTATTTGAAATTCATTAAATTGCATTTCTTCATTATAACATGATATTAGCTTCTGTAATGCATGTAACTAATTAAAAGCTTATTTAGACATTATTTAGAAATAATCAAAACAAATATCAATCAAATTATATACAGATATAAATTCCTGAGCGCTATGACGTGTACTTCTTCAAACGAGGATTGTGGAGAGTACTTAATATTAGGCAGAGGCTTGGCTTTGCCCCTGGCATTGCTGAAGTCCATGGGTGACGGTAACTACTCACCATCAGGTGAACCGTGTGCTCGTCTGCCTAAAAAGGCCATAAAAAACAGATTTATCAATTATTTTTGCAGTACATTAAAGTTAAATCCCGTTGTCATAAATATGACCCACCGCGATCTTGATGCAATGATTAACTGTCACAGTAGCACCTATTTTTGTGAGTACAGACCCGCAGTCAAAGAGAAATAGCTTGTATGTCAGATCGAGTAGAAACTATTTTTATATGGGCTATATTACTACTTGACACCAGGTGGACTATGAGTTCGTTTGGCAAGCTATACAAAAAAAGTGAGTTAATAAAAAAAATATAGTATCAAAATAGTTAGGTCGTTCTATAGAATAAATTCTCTGTGCATCGACTAAGACGCATCGGATGCACTGTATATGAGATTATAACACGTTAATGTGTGATATAAATCAGTGCTTAGTGAATATGAAAAGCGACTATGTGAAGGGAAGCCTATGGATAAGTGGCAGGCAATTACGCAACTTTACTGTCATGCCTGAGGAGAAATTTATACGGAATACGTATTTAATCATATACGGAATAGCCCGATTTTTTTTATGACTGAAAACCCTTCGTGATCGCTTTGGCTATGCGATGTCCATGAATCCCAGGAATTTACCAGCAAGAAGATCGTAAGTTCGACTTCCAGCTGCGACAAGAAATAGATAAAATAGTCTTCCAGCTTATACCACGACTAACTTCTAAGCTGCTTTGATAAGTTCTAATACAAACTTTCTACAACTAGTTAAATTTCTGATGAAATATTACTGAGATTCGCCTAGAGCCAGTTTCCCTGGATAAACGGTAATTTTAGAAAAGTTTTGTACGCGCTTACTTGAGACTATTATGAGATTAAGGTTTTTTTTTATGAATGAAGGATTACTGGTGACTCGGAGTCCTTTCCAGTTTCACCAGGACAGGTGGGCGAGCAAAGGCTCAGCCAGAAGGGGTGGGATTTGCTAACAGCTACCCAAGCGCCTCCGAAGAAGACCTAACAACTCAAGAGCAGCTGCTTCGCGAATGAATCTATTACCGGGTCGGAATCGCGACCCGCTGAGACAATCCGGCGAGAAATTCAGCGAGCTGATTTATGGGACTTGCTTTTAAGCTGCTTTAATAAGTTCTAATACAAGCTTTCTAAAACTAGTTAAATTTCTGATGAAATATTACCAAGATTCTCCGAGAGTCAATTGCCCCGAAAATTGAGTAATCTTCGGAAAGTCTCTTTTTTGGATCTTTACTTGAGACTATTATGAGATTAGGGTCTCAATCAATACATTAAAATAATTCTTGGAAAAATAATTTTAATGGATAGGAACAAAACTAAGAATTTCCTAATCTTAATGTTACCTGTTTCTTTATTGTATCTTAAAGGAACAAATACAAAAAGAGAATTAAGCCTGATTTGCATAACGGCCCATTAACAGTAAGCCGGCAGTGTTTATATCGCTCTGATCGGACGGTGCGCGGAGCAAGACGGCCTTATCTAAAAAGGGTTGGCTGTGATTCGTAACGGGCTAAAGAAATATCTGGACTTCTAGATCGGGGTAGATTTTATTGTGAAAATATATCGAGGTCGTTCAGGATCCCTGAGTCTACGGAAAGTTTGATTCTCTATGTGTTTCTGTGACGAAGGTTGGTGGTAGCCATCATAGAATACAAGACATGTGTTGTACGCCTGAATATAACTCACGATACTTTTCATTACACAGAAAACGAACTAAATTGAGGTATCCTGAGGTCTGACAGTTGGCTTGACTATTCACGACAAGTGTCAGATATCAAAATTAACAATAAACCAAACAATAAACGGTCAGTAAATACATTTTCAGATCGGTGAATTTTGAATCGTTACTATCGGTCACGTATCCAATACCATTTCGAATGGAACTAATATCAAAGGGATCTCTATTTGCGCCATGTTCACTGCGCCGGACACGTGGAACGTACCTGGGGACGGGGCGAGAATTTTAAACGGCTTAAGTACCCAGCACGTGAAGTTTTTTGTCTGTGTAGCCAGACGAGAGAGCATACGGACCACTTGATGGTGAATTTCGTCGCGTACGGACGTCAACAATACCAGAGACAGAGTGAAGCCGCCGCTTCCTGCTGAAATTTTGACTCCGACAAGGATACAGAATGTGTTAACAGTTGCTCAGTTCACGTACAGAATGTGAACGCTTTTGTATGTCCTTACAATAAAGAAATGAAAACATTTATCAAGCAAGTTTCAAGCGATCGTGCAACATTTCGATTTTTAACTAGTGGTAGGACCTCTTGTGAGTCCGCACGGGTAGGTACCACCACCCCGTCTATTTCTGCCGTGAAGCAGTAATGCGTTTCGCTTTGAAGGGTGGGGCAGCCGTTGTAACCATACTGAGACCTTAAAACATATATCTCAAGCTGGGTGGCGCATTTACGTCGTAGATGTCTATGGGCTCTAGTAAACACTTAATACCAGGTGGGCTGTGAGCTCGTCCATGCATCTAAGCAATAAAAATCAAATCAAATCTTCTTTTTCTCTTGTCTTTTCTCTCATCATGGCTTAAAGGGATTTGGCATGAGTTTTACAACGGCCGCCAGCCTTCTCTGGGTTATAATATTATGTTCTTATATTTATTGCGCATGTGTCACTAAGAGGAACGTTTTTTGTTTCTTCTTTTAGTGCTTCTTTTAATTAATCTGTTTCGTGGCTCTATGATTTGCATTTTATTATTATAAGCTTTTACGCTAAAAATTTTACATTCAAATATTAAAAATTAAAAATAGAGGCACTCTATTCATTTTTCGGTCGTTCCATAATAATGCCATTTTGAAATTAATATAGAAAAACAAAAATAAATGTTTAATATAATTTTTTTTAATGCGCCTATCTAATACAAAAAAATTCAAAATGAATATTTTTTTTCTATATTATTGCGTATCGTTTCATTTTAAAAGAAAATCTTCTTAATTGTCTCCACCTTATCCCACTAGATGGGGTCGGCACAACGAATTTTTCTCATCCATTCTCTTCTTTAACCGTCATCTCAACACTCACTCCTCTCTCATATCGTCATTCACACACTCTATCCATGTCTTCTTCGGTCAACCTCTTCCCCTCTACCTTGCACTACCATTTCCATACCTATTCACATGCATCTCCTCTCTACGCATCACGTTTTAAAACAAAATATTTAAATTTAAATTTTAGGAGCGATTAAAAAAACGGTTGCTCAATTTTTTACTTCACTTTTTAACGGTTCTGTGTCACAGAAAACTTAACCTTGGAGTTGCTAGATTTAAAAAATTCGAAAATATCGTTATTAATATATTCAAAAGTTTTATCCCCAATATTTTTTCCAATAGTTTATATTTAGAACCATTAAGAATTGTCTATATCAATCACATTAATATTTATCATATGCCTGTACTTTTGAACGCACCACACACCCCTCTACGAGACGATTCGGCAAAATTTCTATTTCAATGGGAGTAACTTAATGATTTTTATCAAAACAAATTAAATTTCAATGTTAAATCTAACTTGGTCTGTATGTATTTTATAAAACTGTTACGTAGACTGTTTGTCGCACGTGCTACAAAATTTATAGAGCAAACGTGGCCTCGCGTTCGGAATCCTATTTATTTTAGCGAAAGAATAATATATATTCTCCTGAATTTTTTTTTCTGCTCGTTTTTTTTATTGACACGTGTTTTAACCAGTACTCGTCCATGTGAATTGACGGTAGATTTATTTATCTATAAACTAATACGTGAACCAAAAACTTTGTACCCCTTTTTATGAAAATTGCGCGGATGGAGGATTATGAAATTTCCCACACTTATAGAGACTGCAGAGAAGGAGTGAAGAATGTTAATATTTTTTTATACTTATGCATAAAAAATATATTAAATCAATAAAAAAAGCATTACACACACCGCCATGTATTTGACACAACACGCATGCTTACTATTTGTTTATTGTCAAATTATTCTTACTAGTGGTCCCGGAGTAGTCGAAATTCGACTATAATTAATTGAAATTATAAGTGAACATTATTATGGTTCTAGTTACAGATTTCGCCAAAACCACACCATAGACAAATAATTTTAAAGATAAACAATATTAACCTATTCTCAATTTGACCCCAAACTTTAAGCAATAACAAAAGTTTGACAATAAACGAAGAGTATATAATTATGTGCGTGTGTGTCAAATACATGGTAGTGTGTGTAATGTTTTTTTTTATGGATTTAATGTGTTATTAATGCATAATTAAAAAAAAAATAGTATTTTGCACTCCTTCCCTATATTCTCTATAAGTATGGGAAATTTGATACTCCTCCGTCCGCGCAATTTTCGGAAAAAGGAATACAAAGTTTTTGCTTCACATATTAATATATAGATTGCTTAAAGTCTCTGGTTAAATTGAGAATAGATTAATTATTGTTTGTCTTTATTAATATTTGTCTAAAGTGTAGTTTTGGCGAAATTTGTGATTATAGAAGTGTAATAAATAATCTCTGACAATAGAATCATAATAGTGTACAAACTTTTAATTTCAATTAATTATAGTCGAATTTCGACTACCGGTAGATCACTAGTTTATCTAAATGAGCGGACGAACTCAGAGTCCCCCCTTTCCGTTAAGTATTTTCCGAAGGCCGCTATGCTTGGTATTTCTAGTTATTCTTATGTCTCGTACGTTTTACGACAGTATGAACTCAGCTTCGAAAAATACCACAACATTTCTTCACGTGCATATTGTAATTGACTATGTGATTTAACGGAGAATGTGCGGCATGCTCTCTAAGCATTTCTAACTACTGGGGTACTGCAATTTTGCCATATTTCCGACAATACTGCTAAGGGCATAAGGGTTTTTGGTGAGGTTCAACTCCTACATATCGGGGGTCCAGTGTTTTTCGCCAGAATAAAAAGAAAATATGTGTGGTGTCGGTAGTGGGACACCGGATAGGAACGAAGTTCCTTATTATAAAAATATTAATTTTAAGTTCTATTCGAGGTATAAAGAAAATAAAACTGGAGGTTTCGCAACAACACTGTGTTCATTACTAATAAAAATCTTACGCTACGGACGTTTTTTCCCGGTTAGGGTACCCCTCCGCATCTTTCCATAAGGAACTTCGTTCCAAAAAACTTCGGTCACCCAATGACATTTTCTGGTAGAGTGTACACACAGGTAGGTGCGTCTACCACTGTCTTAACAATTTTAGAGAGTTTGTTACAGAGAACAACCACTTTGACACACAAAGCAGACGTCTCAGGATAGGTGAGATGGATCTTAAGTCTGGTAACGACTTTGTCCCAGACATACCGTGAGCTAGTTCACCCATGCAATAGAACGAATACAATTAAAAAGTAGCACCTAATGGTATATCGATTATAATTTGAAACAAAACTAAGAAATTGAATTATCATGCCAAATAGAATGACATTTACAACTTGATCGTAATGTCAAGGTGAATGTATTAAAACTAGAATTATGTTGAGTGAATGTTCAAAATTACATTCAAAAGATGACTTTGTTTATTAAATGCATTTTTATATCGATACATTTTATTGTTTTTTTAATGCTTACTCATAAGCATAAGATAAGTTTGAGAACAAGATTTCTTATTTTTCTGTTTAATTCATTGATTAGTGCCAGGGAGTTTTATCATTATTATTTTTTAATTAGGCGCACAAACGAAGTCAAAGCCCGTCTGGATCAGATATAAGTTCTATGTTGCAGTTTTACAGTACAACGGCTGCTATACCCTTCAAGCTTAAACGCATTACTGTTGGACGGCGGTGTTAGACAGGGTGGTAGTCCCCCCCCTTAAACACACGGGGTGTGCTGACTGCGCTCTAGCGTGCTGCATGGCAGCAGTTCCACGGAGCGGTTGTGTAAGAGCAACCGGTTGATGGTGTATCGCGTTCCGACCTGGCTGGTTGGTTCTGGTTATAGTCTTGACTGACGCCTCGACCGGGTGGCGCCGCGAGTCTGGTTGTGTTGACCGCGGGAACCCCCTTACTCTGACCGGGTTCTGACTCCGGACGGAGATCGAAAGTCGGATGTAAAAGGGGAGTCGTTTAGTGGGTAGGACCCCAAAACATCCTTGGGCCCGCGATCTGCTCTCAACATCTGCAGTCCGTCAAGTACAACATACCACGCGCGCCCCTAGGCGCTGGGTCCGAAAAAAAAGAGTGGTAGTACCTGCCTGTGCGGGCTTACACGACGCCATGCCAACTCCCCCGCACTGGTAGGAAGCCATCTTGCAATTACGAAGGATGTGACTGCTGTTAGAAGATTGAATGGATCAACAAAATCCTCGTAAACGTTTAGAAATAAATAAACAAATAATGTTTTTTTTTATAAAAATCTTTAATAATACTCTTACATCTCATTTGTATCTAAATACAATATTTACAAAATCTTAATTTTTATCTTAACCTAATTACAAAAATTAAAATAATGTCACACATTTTTAACTTAATTGTTTTTTTTTGTCCAAAAAAAAACCTCAACCGACATTGGTCGTTTAAATAGGCAGTGATTTTAGCTGATCTGAGTATTGAGTTATTATAAAATGATTAACTAAAAATCTATTCGAGAAAAAAATAGAAGAAAAATTATATTAGTTTCCCAAAAACACCGAACACGTACTTATACCAAGGAGGTCATTTGGAACTATTGCCTTTAGCGTCGGAGACCAAACGTGATTCGAATAGTTAGACTCTAATTGCACGAACAATATTCACGTGATGTTAACGTAATTAAAAGACAAATTGATCATGTAAAGGTATATGTGAATCAAATTCTTGTTATCAAATGCTATGTGGAAACGAAAACCCATTTTTTGAGTTCTGTTTTGTGTGCAAAAAATCGTTTTTGGAAACTCAAAGCACATCTCTGAACGCGTAAATAGTGACAAAGCTATGTTAACTTGGAAAGCTCTTAAATTTCAGTTTTCTAACAAAAAATAAAATGGTTTTAGTATCATCCGTATTTTTGGGAGAAGAAAGTTTTTTTAAAGAAAACTAAAGTACGATAATTTAATATAAAAATATAAAATAGGAAATTTTATAATCTTATTAATTAGAAAATCAAGAATTTTACATTAAAACGTATTATCACACCTCACTATTTAACCCAATAAATATCGTGTAACTTTATTGTGATAGTAATCGTAAAATAATATAGGCTTAGACAATGAAACGTTGAAATATGGGAGTTGAAAATATTATTACTATGCACTAAGTGTGTCATCCAGGTAAACCAATTATAAAAACGCATACAAGAACTGCACATACATATTTACATTCTCTCATTTATCGTGCACTTACTGGAACGAATTAAAACTAAAACTAAAACCGGAATATACGAACAGTTTTGTTTAGATCTAGATGCGAAGGCCGATGTTGGTCGGTGTGGTCCCGGGGCCTACCGTCTGGCGGGCGGCGCCTGCGTGTGGTGGGCGCATCCCTCCACGTTCTCTGGCCAATCGCAGACGTTTTCGTTGGGGTTGAACACGAGGTTGGAGGGGCACGGCATGTGGTGCTTCCGCTCGCCCTCGCACATGTAGTACATGGTGCAGTCCGCCTGGTCCTTGTGGTACGAGATGTGGCCGTCCTCCTCCTCGCACGTCACCTCAGTGGCTGCAAGAAGACGTAACGGAAATGAGGACCGGAGACTCATGTGTCCAGGTCGTGGCCAAGAGTTGCGAGCGGAGAGCACTCCCGTCGCGCTGTCTATGGGCTAGTGGTTCCTGAAAAGAAACGCGAACCTACCTTCTTCTTACAGATTAGTAAAAATCTGCTGACTGAATTAAACTGACTGAATTATATTTTACAGAGTGTGTCTGAGTTCAGTGTGGTTATTGGCACAAGCCTCCTCTAAAATCTTCCATTGCTGTCTATCTTTAGCAACCCTTCTACAGTTAGGACCAGCTTTATCTCGTCCTCCCATTCGGTGTTAATCTTGCCCCCGTCCCTCTCTTGGGTACTTCGCTAAACTAGAGTAGCATAACAAGAAAAATCGAAAGTCTAATTTGCATGAGCTGCGTGAGTTACTGCTTATGCCCTTTTAAAAATAACCATCCGGTGTCTTGCACATGACAATGAAGGTTTATAGTACTTTATAGTGCTACTAGCAACCCGCCCTCGCTTCGCTTCGGAAACATTAAAACACAAATGAAACCAAAAAAAAAAAAAATTTTTTTTTAAAAAAAGTAGCCTATGTTCATCAGGGACAATGTCGGCTTCTAATGGAAAAAGAATTTTTCAAATCGGTCCATTAGTTTCGGAGCCTATTCGAAACAAACAAACAAACAAATCTTTCCTCTTTATAATATTAGTATAGATGTTTGCGCTGAGTACTCACGGTCCTTAGTGGTGTACTGGCCGCTGGTGAGCACCGTCTCGTAGGGCCCGTCGTATTCCAACTTAACCTTGTAGTCGGACAGTTCCTGCTTCATGGTCGTGATGAGCGGGAACTTGCCAGTTCCACAAGAGCCGCGGAAGTCGTCCATGTCGACAGACCAGACCATTATCCCGCCAAATCCTTCTTCCTTCAGCCAGGCCATCTATAACGCGCAGTAGTGTTATTGCACGATCTCTCTACACACTTTTTACTAATTGCTAATAACCTATTTTCCTACCTCTGCTGAGAGCCTTGAGAGGCTATTTTAGCTATTACTGGTGGTAGGACCTCTTGTTAGTCCGCGCGGGTGGGTACCAACACCCTGCCTATTTCTGCCGTGAAGCAGTAATGCGTTTCGGTTTTAAGGGCAGTCGTTGTCACTAAACTTGAGACCTTAGAACTTATATCTCAAGGTGGGTGGCGCATTTACGTTGTGGATGTCTATGGGCTCCAGTAACAACTTAACACCAGGTGGGCTGTAAGCTTGTCCGCCCATCTAAGCAAAAAAACCCTAGCGTATAGGTAAGCTCTCGGGGCTCAAACCGGAGGTGTTAGAGGTAGAATCTACCACCGGATCGGAAACGCGACCCACTGAGAAGATCCGGCGAGAAACTCAGTAGGCTCGCTAATGAGGTCAGCTTACTTTTGTTTTAAGCGATCTCTCGTCGTCGAACCCGACCCACTGGTCGCCTCGGTAGGCGAACGGCACCATCTGCTCGTTGTCCCAGACGAGCGTCGTGTTGTCCTCTCGTAGGAACTCGCAGATTTCGTAGTAGGACATGAAGCCGGCTTCGTTGGTGAAACGTCCGGCTTCTCCTGGAATATTCAATTGGAAGTTTCTTTACATTAAACGCCAAATATACTACATTTCCGTACGCCTCATCGACGCCTTGGGGATCCAAGGGCTGGCACGCATTTCGGACAAAGGTTGAGCCTGGCCATTCAACGGGGAAATGCCGCCAGCCCCTTGGGCACTCTACCCTGCGAGCGCAGCGATTTGGGGTCGTTTTTTTACATTATCTTGTTTTATTTTTAGTCTGGTATAAATATGTATATACTTTATTTAGTAGTTTTAAACTATTCTGTCAGTATATAATTAAAAAAGATTACGAAATAAACTTTTATTTAATGTAGGTGAAGAGATTTTATTACAACTTCCAGGAAAATTTTAAGCTATAGTTATTTCGAATGTTGCCTTTACTTCTTTGGTCATTGTTTTTAAGGTTTTTGCTGCAAAATTGAGAAGTAATTAGCAGTGCTCACCGCCCTCTGAAGCCGGAGCGCCGATGTCGTACTGTGTTTCGTTGATAAGCGTGAAGGACCTTCCGTACGTGGGCATGCCGATCATCAGCTTCTCTTTGGGGGCACCCTGGCGGACCCACTCGCGGGCGGAGTAGTCCTTCGAACAAAAGGGATCTTATTAAGCCTTAAATCATATCGATACAATTTCTTACGTGTTCACGATCCTGTCCAACCACGAGCAATACTAAATCAAAATTCGAAGCCCTGGTTTGGATACGTATATACTTTCTGTTCTCACGAGGCTACATTTCAACGTGGAATCGATACTTTAGAATCCCCATCGCGCGATAATGGAGAGACGGAACGTTGTGACATTTGCCTTTACAATAATACCGGCAATCACGATATTACGCCATGAATCAAATCAAATCGAATCAAAAAAGTTTTATTCAACATAAATGAAAGTACATACTTGTTGAACATCAAAAGAACTACTGCCAATTCACAAGAACTAGCCTCCGTCCTGAGAAGAATTGGCAAGAAACTCAGCGGGCATGTCTTTTTTTTTTTTAAATATTAGATTCATGGTTAGAAGCATTAGAATCATATTCAGAATGTGGCTAACACTGCAAGATACACCTGATTTAGCCGCGTACTTAACTCTTTGAGCCTTACAACAAATAGCCGATTTATCCAGCTCCTAACGTAGGTTAATCACAGTGAAAAGGTCTTAAGTATTTTGCTGAAACACAGCGACATCAGCTGTTCTTGTCGTACTTACCACAGTTAGTTTCTTTTGGTAGCTCGTGGCGCTTTCAAGGGGGAACAGCGGACTGTTGTGGCCGACCTGGCGCTCCCACTGGCCGTGGAAGTCATACGTCATCACGTTTATGAAGTCCTATAAGCATATGGGTGATATTAATTTACGTTTAATACAATACTATTTTGTTAAAAACAACAGTTGTAGTGTGTATGTATTATTATATGTAATGTTTATTGTATGCGCTAGGTGTGTGTTCCTAATTCTTCTTTCCTTTTGCGGGGCCTACTGGAAGAGATTTCAACATGAAATAAGTAGTTCCCTTGCACTCTGTATCCTTATTGTCGCTTTTCTTCTAACAGCGGTGTGTACAAAATATATTAAATAAATAAATAAATAAAATGTGATAGGGCATTAAATTTTTTTATAGACCTATTAGGCAGACGAGCCTACGGCCCACCTGATGGTGAGTGGTTACCGTCGCCCATGGATTACAGCAATGTCAGGGACAGAGCCAAGTCGCTGCTTACCGTCAAGCCGCTGCTTGCTGCAGCCTACCTTTAATTGTTTTTCAGTTAGGACATTTTTGTTTCGTCGAGTAAAAAAATTACCTAAAATATTCTTTACATCGCGTGCCCTGCGAAAATTATTAATGATAGAATAACATAATTGACTACGACTTTGTAGAACACATTATTAATTACAAAAAGTGTCGCGACAGCATAATAATATGTCTAACTATTATAGTTATGCCGCAATAAGTGTTCTTTTATTTAAAAAATGAAACAGCGTCAAATATGGTTGAACTTTTTGTTAAAGACTCGAGCGGAGCCGGAGCGGGCCGCTATGATACATAAAAATATCTAACTATTGGCTCGAAGATGTTTTTCTCATAACAGTTAAAAAAAACAGTCATCCTCACCAAATATTTCGATATTTCCGGTACATCATATCCAGCGGCGATTGCCTCGAACGACGCCGGTACAGCAGCAGTGAGCAGAAGCCGGGGCTGACCTGAAGTCTTGGCTTCACCCTCGAACGCCAGACGCAATTCCTTGAGCAGAGATACGAATGCTGCACGGTCATCAGCTCCTCTGTGGAATACGCCATACGCACATTAATTAAAAACTAATCTAATGTTTTTTTAATGCGCTTTTATTAGCTTCAGACGTATGTATGTAAGTATGTAACGGAATCTTTGAACATGATTTTGACCCCCTTCAAAACGTCGGATTAACTCGAAATTTGGTATACTTCTAAAGGACCGATGACAATTGAATATAAAAAAAAATATAAAAAAAAATTTGCCCCACCTCTCACGCTTTTTTATAATAAAATCATTTTTTCTTACACTATTTTTAATTCAAATTTATTAAAATTTATTTTCTATTTTTTAGTTGGATTTTCTATAAAAGCGTATTTTGTTACTTTTTTTAAACTATTCTTTATTTTAAATTAATTACGGGAAACTTACAATTTACATTCTGCTAGTGTGTAAATGTTGAGGTTACATATCTGATACTGACTTTAAATCTTTAACGAGATACTTTAGCATAGCATAAAAGTTCTCGAAAAAAATTCATTCATGTATTAAAATTCAAACGGTCCGGAAAACGCTTAAAGCTTTCCATTGAGATTTTATAAAGCACCCACCTAGGATATTCCCAATCCACGTCCAAGCCGTTGAACTGATAGTCGCGGAGGAACTCGATGGCTTCATACACGAACTGGTTCATGCGGAACACGTTCGAAGTCAACTCTTTGAACGGAGTAGATCCGAAGGCCCAGCCTCCGATGGCGAGCAATATCTAGTGAAAGCAATATACTAATTAATCGAATAAATCACAACATAGTATAAAACAAAGTCGTTTTCTCTGTCCCTATGTCCCTATGTATGCTTAAATCTTTAAAACTAAGCAACGGATTTTGATGCGTTTTTTTTAATAGATAGAGTGAAGAGGAAGGTTTATATCGACGCTTGAAAGGCAAACTTGACTAAGCGACAATGTTTTTAACTTTTCAGTAGACTAATTTAAAGTTGAAATAACTGAAAAAAATTATATTTTAACGAATCTAGCTGTAGGATTTAAATGATTTTAACAGACCTAGAAATAATTTTTTTTTTGCGCATAGAATATGGTTATTGCCATCATTTATGTACAAAGCAGTTATTGTCGCTTAGTCACGTTTGCCTTTCAAGCGTCGATATGTATAATAATATCCATTAAACAGTGGAGAAATCAATAATAAATTACAGTTTCCGAAGCGAAGCGAGGGCTGGTCGCTAGTATTAAATAATTATCTTTTGAGACTAGTATCTTTATGTTCAAGTTAATTAATAGTAGTATACAATATCAGCGGGCTACGTCACAGATATACTTCCTACCACGAGTACAATCAAAATCATAAAAAAGGAGAAAGTATTTATCTTAAAAATGTGTTTCCCACTTCGAATTCAATAACTCAAGTTAAATATTCGGTTAGAAAACAACAAATTGTGATAAATTCACCCGGAACTGTAACAGAAGTTGAAACAAACCTTCAAATTAGGGTTCTTCTCTCTCAACGCAACGACTTTATCGTACATATCAGCGTCTTTGTCGTCAGCTTCAGCTAGCTTGTGGTCTTTGAGGGTTGCGAAAGCGTATATGATGTGGGTACAGAGTTTGGGGTCAACGTTTTCTGGTGTGAAGCGGCCTGCGCTTGGACGTTTGGCTGACCAGGATGTGAGATAACAGAGTACTTGGGGCTCGCGTTCTGTAAACAAAGTTAAAACGTTCGCATTTATTTATTTATCTATACTAATATTATAAAGCTGAAGAGTATGTTTGTTTGAACGCGCTAATCTCAGGAACTACTGGTCCGATTTCAGTGTTAGATAGCCCACTTATTGAGGAAGACTATATAACATCACTCTGAGACCAATACAGGTGGAGCACCAATAAAGAATGTTTCAAAATTGGTGTTTAAAAAGCTTTAAGCTAGTAACATATTAAAATAGGATATATCGTCAGTCTGTATGGTTATGTGTGCCAAAAGGTCTCGTGTCTTTAAGGAAAAGAGATGTCTTATTTCTGGTTTCAACCTTAAACTTCAAGGCTAGTGGTGATTCAAATTTTGATGCCTATTAGCCGGTATACGGTAGTGAATGGACAACACCAAAAAAAATGATGTGTGGTGTCGTGGGACACCGGACAGGAATGAAGTTCCTTATTATAAAAATATTAATTTTAAGTTCTATTCGAAGTATAAAGAAAATAAAACTGGAGGTTTCGCAACAACCACGGTCATTCGGTAACGTGCGAACTTATTGTGGTACACTTCATTCACGGTTGTTTGCATAAGAGTTAGTGTATTGCGCAAACGAACGCTCTGAGATCGTGGTCAATGAATGATAAAAAAATATGTTATTTTTTGTACGTTATTACAAAGTTAAGTCGTACACTGCGTGCATTACTAATAAAAATCTTACGTTACGGACGTTTTTTCCCGGTTAGGGTACCCTCCACATCATCCCACAAGGAACTTCGTTCCAAAAAATAACTATTAAAATATTTCCTATTTCCGTAATAATACACTTCCGAATTAATTTGCGGAGGAGCTATATGCACGAAATGCTGTCAAACCTATTTTTGAAGAACGATCTCATAATCAAATATCTGTTAATCCATATCAATTTAACTTAAACTTAATTCAATAGAACGCGCAATCAATCATCGGTGTTCGATCTTATTATACTCCCTTCTTCGCTTTTGCCGTTTACGTGAAGATTACAGTTCTCGACTGAAGACATTATTACAATATAAGACAGGGACTTTGGGAGTTGGGCTTTTAGCTTTTTTTTGGGCTTTGGGCTGGAGTGGTGACATATTTGCTTTACTTCGCATAGGTAGGCGTCATTAGGTGCTAATCAGTCATTCGTGACTGCGAAAATTATAGAATTTTTGAAAAGTCGGTAATAATCAAATCGAGGGATGACGACATTTTTGCAACTTTACATGAGAGCCATTTTTAAGTTTAAATTTTGGAAAAAATATGATAACAAAAAATACTTCTTCAGCTATTTCAATGACGGAAACTTTATTGAAGTTCAATAAAAAAATAGACCTGGATTTGGTTTGCTAATACCAAATAAAACGCACCTTTAATAACAAAGATAAATATCGCGTATTATTAAGCTTTATTTAGCTTAAATCAAATATCACTAAGCCCTTTCGGATTTGAAGGGGGCTATGGCCGCTATGTAACACCATTGAGATATTGAGCGTATTCTCACACAGCCCATCAGGTGTTGAGTGGTTACTGGAGCCCATAGACATCTACGACGTAAATGCGCTACCCACTTTAGATGTAAGTTCTAAGGTCTCAGTATAGTTACAACGGCTGCCCCGCCCTTCGAACCGAAACGCATTACTGCTTCACGGCGGAAATAGGCGGGGCAGTGTTACCTACGCGCGCGGACTCACAAGAGGTCCTACCACCAGTGGAGACGGTTGTAGATGATATTCACGCAATGATGTTAAAAATTTAATAGCACATAAGTAGCTGAGCCTTTATATACGAATTCAAGCTTAATTATGATTCTCATACTCTCGATTATAATTATGTATCCGGAAATAAAATTGGAAAAAGAAAACCTTGTGAATATTATAACGAGTATACTTATGTTTAAATCGTTTATTGCAGATCCGTTTCGAGGAGGTTCAAGCACGTAGTTACAAAGATTTTCGAGTGGTTGTGTCGTAAACTTGATGGCATTAAATCACAAAACCCATTTAGAACAAACGCCAAGATATGTTGAGCCTCTCCGTATTATTGTGTCTCCCTCGATTTCGGTAATGCGATATATTTGAATAATGGATCGAGTCTAGATAGTTATTCCTACTTTGAATTGAATAGAGAAATTGTGTAGGAAAATATGGGACTTTCCCAGGTTTTTTTTTAAATTAAATTTAATGGAATAATATAATCACTGAACCGGGAAACGAAGTCAAATGCTGGTACTGGTCACAGCAATACGACGCTACGGAAATTATATAAAAAAATATTGACACACGATGTCGAAAAAACGCTAGGTTCGTCTGTCATGTAACTTTTTTGTACATTGCGGGCTATGGGGAAACCATTTTTTTTCCTACCTATGCTGATAGAATTGAGAGGCTATTTCAACTTCTACTTGACATGTAGGTGAGCTCACGGGGCTGAAACCGGGAGTGTTGCTAACATTAGCCCTAGCAAGAACAGTGCTTCGCAGAATCTAGCACCGGATCGGAAACGCGACCCACTGAGAAGATCCGGCGAGAAACTCAGTGGCCTGTGTCTATATGGGTTAATTTAATGCCCTTCATCGCAAGTGACGGGTTCGACGAGGCGGGTGACCAGGGAAAACAATCTTACTCAATCTATTATTAGTATTTGTGTTTAATTTGACAAATTAGGTACCAGATACAATACAATACATATTATATATTGTAGCTATTTGTGTTTTTTTTTCAATTCATTTATAGCACGAGTATAGTATATACTCGTATAGTATTGATCAAGTGCTCATTTAAAACTAGCCTAATATTTAAAACACACAAACACCAGTTAAACATTAGTTTTAATGGTGCCCATTAGGCTTACGTGCGTAACGGCTCACGTAGCGGTCCAGACGAAACTGGTCGCGTGAGAACTCTCAGACATAAAAGCACTCGATATTTCAAACTTTCAGTGGCTGTGCGAGGAATTTCGTGAGCTTTGACAGTTTCGAGCGACTTTAGCTAACATTGACCCCTGTGGCACGCCCTACGGATTTAGCTTTTAGCGTAAAACACTCTCAGACTGAAGGAGTTAAGTGCAGAAATGTAGTTCCAGCTAAGTTAGACCTTAGTGATCTTTTTTTTTTATTGCCGTATAGGCAGACGAGCATACGGTCCACCTGATGGTAGTGGTTACCATCGCTCATGGACTTCAGCAATGCCAGTGGCAGAGCCAAGCCGCTGCCTACCGTTTCATACTTACAAATGTAAATAGAATGACTTACTGTTTTTATCTGAAAGTGCCGCTCCATTGGTCTTTATGATGACGTTTTTACCGGGCTTCTTGATGCGCTTGAGTACTTCGGACAATGGAACCTGTATCGGTTCTGGTTTCTCAGTTTCTTCTATCACTATGCTGGAAGCTACCGTGGCCCAGTCGACATCTTTGGCGTCTTTACCTCGAGATATACCTCGGAGTTCTTCCCTGTAATATAAATAGTTTTATAAGCATTTAAATATTGGTGATTTAATGTGTAGTTTGTTTCGTGTTACGTCAATATGAATCCTCCCAATCCATTAACGGTGCTTTTAGGCACTACAAGCACCGGTCACCGTCCTCGTTGAGCCCTTCGTTGCAAGCGAAGATAAACAAACTCATAGACACAGCCCACTGAGTTCCTCGCCGGATCTTCTCAGTGGGTCGCGTTTCCGATCCGGTGGTAGATTCAGCGAAGCACTGCTCTTGTTAGAGCCAGTGTTAGCAACACTTCCGGTGTGAGCCCAATGAGCTCACCTACATGTTAAATATTTTTAACCAATATAATTAGTAAAAGTGATTATTTGGAGGAGATTGGAAGTCAATTGAAAATAACTTTCGTCAATTTTATTGCCCATTAAAGATACGAAGTTTTAACTTCGAGTTATGTTTTATTGAAAATGTCTTCAGTAAAATGATCAACGTCTGATGTTTACCTCATAGCACCGATCAATGGATACTTTACATCGCCGCCGCAGACGTTGCCAGAGAAGTCGTCCATATCAACGGTCCACACCATAGCCCCTCCGAAGCCATTGTCTTTGATCCACCTAAAGATGAGACATAGATGTCAATTAATTCGGAGCAGTCGACCCTGCTGTCAGAGGGCTGTTCACTGCTTTGAAGTGGTCGTGGCCTAAAGGATGAGACGTCCGTTGCATTCGTATCTAGCGATGCACCGGTGTTCGAATCCCGCAGGCGGGTACCAATTTTTCTAATAAAATACGTACTTGACAAATGTTCACGATTGACTTCCACGGTGAAGGAATAACATCGTATAATAAAAATCAACCCCGCAAAATTATAATTTGCGTAATTACTGGTGACAGGATCTCTTGTGAGTCCGCGTGGGTAGGTACCACCACCCTGCCTATTTCAGCCGTGAAGCAGTAATGCATTTCGGTTTGAAGGGTGGGGCAGCCGTTGTAACTATACTTTAGACCTTAGAACTTATATCTCAAGGTGGGTGGCGCATTTACGTTGTAGATGTCTATGGGCTCCCGTAATCACTTAATACCAGGTGGGTTGTGAGCTCGTCCATCCACCACGAACCAGAAAAAAAAAAAATTCATTAAAGATACGCGTATTCGACTTTGATCACGAGTAACTACCCCCAATACCTCCCCTTAATTCATCCTAATTGGCAATCTCCCCAATCATCTTTAGTATTTAGGCATCCAATCTTAACAATATTCACGAATTGTCATTTTCTGCATTGATGACTAAAAGAGCTGATGACCTGCCTAGTGATAAGTGGTTACTGAAACTGTAACTCAGCTTAAGATATAAGATGCACCTCTCAGTTTATCAACAGGAATACAGGACCGCGCGGCAGATATCTGCAGGATGGTAGTATCAACAAAATTAGTTTGAAATGACATCACCACGCTGTTCTATAACTACGTGGTCACCTCCAATTCTTTCACGAACAAATTCATGCATTCCGTTGTTGTAGCAATCAATCTAACTTAAAGTGATAAATGCAATATGTAACCTCATTTTGTTCCTGATTGATTTCTCATCGTCGAATCCGACCCACTGGTCCCCGTGGACGCAGTAAGGGACTTTCATTTCATCGTCCCAGACGTAGGCACCCCCGTTCCTTAGCATTTCGCACACCTAAACAAACACAAAAATCATATTCACTCACTATATATACACACACATCAATATATCGACGGCTTTGTGGCAGTATTAGATGGGATGGGTCATTTCGAGGGTTGAAATATTATTTGGTTACATTTCGCTTAATACACAACATTTATCTTTGTAATTAAAGGTGCGTTTTGTTTGATATTAGTTCATCAATAGTTCGATTTTTTAAGATTGCATAGATTTTATCGCGGGCCTTAAGCGCGGCGACCGAATCATGAAATTCCGTAACGAAAAAAACCTTACACCCCTCACTCCGCCTACCATGTAGCTCGCGTTCAACACATTCACACGTTGCGCTTGTGTAGTGTTTGTGAATAAGCGCGTGGCGTGACGTCACACTGCATGCGCATCATGAAAAGTCTGCCCAACTCTCTCTCGCGCGGTCTAACTTATGAGTGTGAAGGGGACAGTTAAGGTTTTGCTTTTATTAATGTTTAATATAGCGTGGTCTTGTTTTATTATTGTTTTAATATTAAATTATCATTGTCTAATTATAATTGCATAAGTTGACAAAAAATGCTATGCAATAGCTTACCGCGGCAGTTCCCGAGTGTCACACGTTTTTTAATTGAACTTCAATTAAGTTTAACCCATTGAAATAGCCGAAGAAGTTTTTTTTTATTACGATATTTTTCCATCTTTTAAACTATAAATGGCTCTCCTGTAAAGCCGCAAAAGCTTTGCTTAAACCAAACCCCTCGATATATACTTACTTTACATGCAAATTTATAGCAGATATTGGTTTTTTGTCAAACATTACTATGTTTACCATTACTTATGCAAGCAATGATCGAGCTGTGCTTTCATTGTCAAAAGTACTTGTGATTTTTTTCCTTAAACTCTAAACTATATTAATATTAACATTCAAATCGATCTCTTCGAGGCAACGAACTTTATTATAATCTAAGTTCTGATTTGTGTTCTCTTCGCCCTCTTTAAGACCATTAAATAAATTACGCAGTATACCTAAATGAAGACTTTTTGTAATTACAATCTCGAAAGCTCTGTGTTATTGGATAGCTGGCTCGAGCTTTAGTTTACGGGTGAACTTTTCACGTTTAATTACTTCGTTAAACGTCAAAAGTCTCAAGGCTTTGTAATTAGGTAATATATAAAAGTTTTTTATTATAAGCTCATGAGGAATTACAAGTGGAAATTTTTCAGAAGAACTTTGTAGAGGTGTTAATAAAAGGACATTGTTGCTAGCTTTGGCTTACGAAGCGAGATGTAACAGTTAAAACAATTTCACTGAGTGCTTATTTGACAAGAGAAACATTGAACTAATTTCTCCAGTTCAGTGGCTGTATTCACGGTGTAATATCTATGGTATCTGGTAACCACATATCACCATCACGAGGTCCGTAACGTCACTCATCAAAAACACCAAAACTTTATTGTCAATTCAAAGGCAACCGTCGCCAATGCCATTAATTATGTCAAAACCTTTCTGACCGATAGCCAAGCGCTAGAGTTCTTGAACTGATTTGCAATACCAAGTTTTGATAAAAGGCCAAAGATTGAGAGCAAAGCAAGTATTGTTATAAGATTCGTAGTGATTTTAATTAAATGTAGTGCGCTCTCTGTTTCGCAATGACTTAAAAGATATTTAGTTTATGTCCCAATGAATTTTAAAGGCATAATCTAGTCTTCTTAACATAGAAAAAAATTGGTATATATTATGTGTATGGCGTAAGTGAACATTGACGTCATTGTTCAACGAAGGGGACTTTTTTTATGACGTTATTTAAATTATCAGGCAATCCGTGGATTACGTGATACCAATATTACCTCATAGTAAGCGAGGAAACCGCTTTCTTTGGTGTACTCTCCCGCTTTTCCTCCGCCACTGGCCGGCGCGTTCACTTTGAAGTTATTAGGGTTGGAGAGCGTGAATGTACGTCCATATGTTGGCATACCTTGAATTCAAATTATGTTTATTAGAAAGTTGTTGAATCTTAAACAGATTAAGGCTTGTAATGAGCATTAAAGGACACGGTGTTGCGTATCCAAAGATGATATTTAAAGGATTTTTTGAATCTTGAAAATCTTGTACGCGCTCTTTAGGCTTATTGCTGTTGCAGCAGACTTATTGGTAATGTCTGAGTGATCCAAAATCAGGCTTAATCGGAAGCAGTATACGATCGGTTACGAAATGAACATAGGGGTTATAAAAATGTGAGAAGTTTGCAAAAGATTGGGATTTGCTGAACTCAATGAACTTTCTGAATGAATGTATGTCTAATTTCTGATAAGAATTAATGATCTTTTACTTGTATTTACTTATATATAAAATCTCTTAAAAAAAACAACACTACATCTAGTTGATTGACTGAAAGTTACTTGCACATCTTCAAGGTTGTTTTAGGCATGTCTAAAAGGATTCTGGCTATTTCTTGTGTAAGTATTCAGCGTCTTAGCTTTGTAAGCATATTAACAAACATTCCACATATTTCGAATCTAAGAACATAAAATATATTTCACATAGCTTTGCGAGCACATAACTTAGACAGCTGAATAAAGCCAGATGGATTTCCTCTACTACCTTCAAAGAAACTTGTCACTCTGCAATATTTACCCTAATCATTGTAATATCTAGTTTTACATTAATGAATTTAAAAAATATCTCAATTCTCCAATTTTAATTCCGGACATAGCTATCAACGTAATTGCCCAATTAAGACAAGGATTTACCAATAATAAGTTTGTCCTTGGGGGCTCCAAGTTTGACCCAGAGATGTGCTGCGTGGTCTACTGACAGCTGCTTCCTCCACTCCGAGTCTGTTGAGGGAGCGTACAACGGGGCGTTGTGGCCGGTCTCCCTCTCCCATTTGCCGTGGAAGTCGTAGGCCATAAGATTGATGAAGTCCAGATAGCTGCAGATAAAACGTTGATTAAAGTTGCAGATCCCAATTTTATCCAACTAATTGCGATAGTTGTTGTTACACAAGTATTTATTAAAGATTTATTCTGGTTTCAGTTAGGTTTTTTTTTTCAATATAGTTGATGGATGTGGCTACAGGGTCAAGTATTGTTTTTAAATAATGAGATTGAGTGGTTAGTGGAGAAAACCGAATGTCATCCATCACAGACTTTAGGTTCGCTTCTAGAATATACATAACAGATTGGGGAAAAAGTTAAGAAAATTCACAATATTTTTTAATATAATTTATTTACATTTAACTAAAGTACGTAGGTACTATTTTGTTCGATAACTTTTTGCCATGTTGTAGGTAGGGATATAATCCCATTGCTATAGAAATTTTGGGGCTTCTGATCAAAATACCGCGATTGGTTTTGGCAGTCCTCTCGTGATGTTAGCCTGACACTGCCTTAATAATTCTGAAGAGACCGAAACAGGTCTCAGGAGGTGGAAATTTGGAAATGATACCAAAACCAGCCAGACACAAATAGTATAGCCAAAAAGATTTTATTACAAGTTCATACATACTACGAGTATAATGCGAAAAGACTTTTTCCCCAACCTATTACTACAATCATGGCTGTCGTCCTTAAAGTCATAACGCACGACTCACAATAGTAGAAACAGGCACGATGCTCGATAGAAAACGCCCTACTAGCATTAACGTTATTCGATGTTATTTTTTTATTTTGTAGGTTTTTTAGGACGTGTGTTGATTCATATAGACACAAGGACCACTGCTTAATTTAGCCACAATTCCCTTATGTCAATTAGAATTTAAACCTTATGCAGTATAATCGACATGGGAATCTACATAGTTTTTTGGACCTCTGCAATGGATTACTGTTTAAGTTTTTTAGGACATGTGCTAATTCAAATAGACACAAGGACCACTGCTCAATTTATCCACAATTCCCTTATTTCAATTGTATTGGAATTTATATATGTTTTATGAAGTACAGTCGACATGGGAATCTACATACTTTTTTGGACTTCTGCAATGGATTACTGCTTAAGTTTTTAGGACATGTGCTAATTCAGATAGACGCAAGGACCACTGCTTAATTTAGCCACAATTCCCTTATGTCAATTAGAATTTAAACCTTATGCAGTATAATCGACATGGGAATCTACATAGTTTTTTGGACTTCTGCAATGGATTACTGCTTAAGTTTTTAGGACATGTGCTAATTCAGATAGACACAAGGACCACTGCTTAATTTAGCCACAATTCCCTTATGTCAATTAGAATTTAAACCTTATGCAGTATAATCGACATGGGAATCTACATAGTTTTTTGGAACCTCTGCAATGGATTATTACTGTTTAAGTTTTTTAGGACATGTGCTAATTCAGATAGACACAAGGACCACTGCTTAATTTAGCCACAATTCTCTTATTTCAATTGTATTGGAATTTATATATGTTTTATGAAGTACAGTCGACATGGGAATCTACATAGTCTTTTGGACCTCTGCAATGGATGGTACAATATGGACCGTAAGCATACTTAGCTGGGTAAGCCAAAAAAGACGTGAGATTTAAGTGATATTTACTAGAACCAAAAGTCTTGTATTATCTTTATGAATGCCATAACGTTTTTATTCATAAGCATATTGTTAAGTGTGGTTTCAAGATAAATTATAGCACATTTTCTTTATAGCGCATTTCTGCTGCCATAAATGAGGCTCTGCAAAGTTAACGACCCGTTTGATGAGCCATGATCGCCTCAACCTGATAATACATTGTATACCCCGTGAGATATTTGACAAAAACCGGTACGAGGATTATTCTTGCTAAAACGAAATAAACTTTAAGTGACAGGTGTTTGGGTCTAGTTGGGAATTGGCAACGTATGGACCATCGTCTCGTCAATGAAGGCTATTAAAAGTTCACCTGGCTACAGCAGGAACGTCGTATCCGCTCTTGATGTTGTCAGGTCCAACTGGTACAGCTGCAGTAAGAAGCAAACGAGGTTTCTTCACTTCTTGAGCCTCCGCTTCGAAGGCCTCACGGAGCTCTGTAACAAATTTCGAATAGCTATAATTTTTAAAGGCCATTTGGCGTTTTTTAACACCACCATTCTGCCATAATTTAATGAATGCTCTACTTTGGGTCACCCGTCAAGTGGCGGTATTCACTTATCCATGAGGACGATTATTGCTTAGTACTAGGGGATTATCTACCCGATTAATGGTTGTAAGCCGACAGAAAGTAAAAAGATATTCTTGGTTTCTCAGAAGAAGTTAAAAATTTAAACAAAAAATACGCCTAGCAGCAAATTGTATCGAAAATTTTAATTATCCTTTAGTTTGATCCTTGCTTAGAATATTAGACCATATAATATAATTTTTGTATTATCATAGGTCCTTGATACGTGCGAAATCTTCAAGTGAATCCGTTGTCTTGAAATTAGTGAAACGTGGTCTATATTGGTGGTGAAAAGTCATGGAAATTACTTTTGAAGATTCTATTACATAAATAGATAGAGGTAGGTATTAAGAGTTTTAATAAAGACGAAGTATATATTGTTCTTTGTTTCATTTTGTCGTATACTTGTCTACGCATAGTTAATTACGATCAATTACATCAATTGGTAGTAGTCTCCTAGGAAAAATCTCACGAATGCGCCAAATTAGGCTTTATGGAAGTACTTTATTATGTAAAAAAAATAAAAAAAATTACACAGCCCATTCTTTGTATGATAATAAATTTCAAAAATTCTCGAACTTGATTTGACCACTTCCAATCTTGCCAACAGCATAAATCTAAGGTCACAGAGCACATTTAAAACCTTAAAAATATTGTAACTTCCTTCATCCATCATAATTAACTGAACGAAACTTCTGATACTGTATAATTCACAATATTTCGTAACCTCCTAGACGGTGGTTTAGTAGCCAAGTTTTGTAGTGAACACTGTGTTATTTCGAAAGGCGCCGAAGTGTAGCAAGGACACTTTGGATTGTTTAGCTGAGCTGATTATTAAAGCTTAGGTTTTAATTGAATTTTTATATAAATAGAAGCATGTATATATAAGTATAGCATCTTTAAGCGTCACGTGTTTCAATGTTCAAAGCAATAGTTTAATTAACAAATTATAATTTGCGTAATCACTGGTGGTAGAGCCTCTTGTGAGTCCGCACGGGCAGGTACCGCCACCCTGCCTATTTCTACTGTGAAGCAATAATGCGTTTCGTTTTGAAGGGTGCGGCAGTCGTTGTAGCTATACCTTAGAACTCATATCTCAAGGTGGGTGGTGACATTTACGTTATGGATGTCTATGGGCTCCGGTAACCACTTATGACCAAGAGGGCTGTGAGATCCTCCACCAACCTATGCAATTAAAAAAAAAAGCTACGTGATTAGTTAATTATATTTTTTTAATTTTATGAAATCAAGTACACATAATTCAAGTTGTGTTTCATTGATTTTATATTATTTTTTGTGTTTAGTGAATTCAAAACTTCTAATTTTAATGACTCGGTAGTGTAGTAGTCATCAGCCCTGAATGTTGCGGGTTCGATTGCCATATCAAATAAACTTTCGTGTGATGAACAGATTTGTTTGCTCTTCGTTTGGGTTTTTATTATTTATATATTTAAATGTCCATAATTATTTATATCAGTCTCTGGTATCAATAACACAGGGAATCCTCATTTGGGGCCAGATTACAGTGTGTGATTTGTTTCCAGTTATTATTATTATTACTTAACTAGCTGACCCGGCAGACTTCGTAGTGCCTCAATCGATAAATAAAAGACCTTTTGTATAAAATAAACTTAAAACAAACAAAAGGAATTTGTCCGACAGGGGACACATCAAAGGAAAAACAAATTTGTTATACCTTTTAAACCTTCTATGGACTTCCAGAAATAATTCAAGACCAAAATTAGCCAAATCAGTCCAGCGGTTCTCGAGTTTTAGCGAGACTAACGAACAGCAATTCATTTTTATATATCTTCTAATATATAAAATTCTCGTGACACAATGTTCGTTCCCATACTCCTCCGAAACCGCTTGACCGATTCTCATGAATTTTTTTATGCATATTCAGTAAGCCTGAGAATCGGCTACTACCTACTTTTCATCCCCCTAAGTGATTAGGGTTGTCCACCCCTAACATTTTTTTTTATTTGGACATTTTTTTTTGTTATAATGATGTAGTATGTGGTTGAATGAGGTTTTGTTATTTTTATTATATATTCCCTCATCGTTCACAGCACTACATACCTCTTTCACTCATTTACCACATCTTTACACACCTACAATAAGTTAGGTTTTTTTTGTACACTAGAAATTCCCTAGAAATCTTATATATGGCTAAACAATGTTTGCCGGGCCAGCTAGTTATTATATAGATATCTTTGTTTCACAAATTATCTTTAAGTAATTAAAGTCACATTTTTTTAAATGTATTTTCATTTTGTATACATAACGACTCTATTGTATTTAGAACATACATACGAATGACCTCTGTCGCGCTTTTTAATAAGCATAGCGATTAACTACGATTAATAAAACAATGTTAATTAACGCATTGTCCAACATAATTCAGTTTAAGTTGTCCAAAGCGTTCTAGGCACGCTCGAGAAATACAACGGCATCTTTTGACAGATAGCGGAAACTACTACTAGAGATGTGTGGAATCTTCTCGATAATTCTAGGGATGAGGTATCGGCTATAGAAACGTTGTAGAGATGGCACGCAGTCAGTCAGTAATCGGAACTACTCGAAGCGAAACAGCGAACGGATCACCTGAAGCGAAGCGGAACAAGCTAATTGAGAGTTTTAAAGTGTTTTTTGAGTGTTCGTAAAGTATTTAAGTGTTTTAAGTGTTGAGTTTTTAGTTGTACTTTGGTGAAATTTTATTTATCCCGAACCCCAGCGCGTAACAATAACTATACGCGCGTTATAACAATACGCCCAGCGCTTGTTAAATATCTCATATTGTACTCGCAAACCTCTAAATACCGTGAAAGGATTCACGAAGTGAACGGCTGTGTTTGTCGTAAGGCTAAGCACTCTACCGCATGTTGCTTCACAGTCCGGGGCGGCACAACTGCTAGCCATTTCAAACCAGATCATTACAAAATTCTTTCGTTTGTTATTCGTTGGCACTAGCACGATACAAAATATAAGTAATATTTGGTGGGGCACTTCGTCAATTAAATTCCATAAGAAGCTGTAGTTTATGTTCATAGTTAAGTAATCAGTCAAGAAACCTTTTTTTATGGCTTAGATGGGTGGACGTAATCACAGTCCACCTGGTGTTAAGTGGTTACTGGAGCCCATAGTCATCTACAACGTAAACGCTCCACCCACCTTGAGATATAAGTTCTAAGGTCTCAAGTATAGTTACAACAGCTGCCCCACCTTTTAAACCGAAACGCATTACTGCTTCACCATGACCATGATTAAGCACTTCGTCAATGAAATCCTATAAAAAGTTTTAGTTCTTGTTCATAGCTAAGAAGTCAGTCAGAAAGCCGTTGTGCAACAGAGTATAGTTTTTATTGTCATCTGTGATTAACGGGCTTGCGGGATCCTGCTGGAGAGCGGTCACAGTGGTCTATGGACAAAGGTATAGTTCTGTTGCTGCCTACCCTGGAGCTTCGTATGAAGAAAGGATTGGATGGAGTGGCTCATTCCAAAGTTTTATGGTGTTCCAAAATTTGTGAGAAGTAAGCAGTTTTACTTACCAATATGCACTTGTTCGATTTGTGGTAATTACACTTCCAGTCGGGGACTTTCTGATTATCTATACTAATCTATACTAATACTAATATTATAAAAAGGAAAGATTTTTTTGTTTGTTTGTATTGAATGGGCTCCGAAAAGACTGAACCGATTTAAAAAATTCTTTCACTGTTTGGAAGCTACACTATTCCTAAGTGATATAGGCTATAATCTTTTTTGAAAACTAATATTATAAAGAGGAAAGATTTTTCTGTTTGTTTGTATTGAATAGGCTCCGAAACGACTGAACCGATTTGAAAAATTCTTTCACTGTTTGGAAGCTACACTATTCCTAAGTGAAATAATCTTTTTTGAAAAAAACTAGAGATCCTTACTAAAACTCCAATAATGTAATCCAAGGTGTAAAAAAATTACCTAAAATATTCTTTACATCGCATACATCGCATACAATGTACTACGACTTTGTAGAACACATTATTATTTACAAAAAGTGTCGTGACAGCATAATATGTCTAACTATTATAGTTATGCCGCAATAAGTGTTCTTTTATTTTAAAAAATAAAACAACGTCAAATATCGTTGATTTTTTTCTTAAAGATCCGAACGGAGCCGGAGCGGACCGCTTGTATCAAATAATTTAATTAGCGTAATTTTTGTTTCGAACATTAAAAGACGTGGCTTACGAAGCCGCTATATTTCAATACGGTATTTCTGATGTAGTATAGAAATAAATATAAAAAAAAATGTCCACAGCTAAAACTTATGATGCAGTCAATCAAGTGCAGAAGACTGTGTATGAAACACCCGTACGTCAAACAAAAAAAAAAACAGAATTCGTAATATTTCCTCAATTTCCATTCGTCGAGAATGTGAGATGAACAAAGCCTTGCCGCGTAAGGTATTTCGATGGGTTGCAAAGACATATGGGAGACTAGATGTGCCTTAGTTTCTACATTTTCAAATCATCGAATTACCAGTTATTACGCTATCTAGTTATAGTCCATTCTCGTTATAAGCTGAATTAAAGAAAACAAGATATTGTGTTAGGTATTCATAATACAAGTTGCGAGGATATTACATAAAATATAATGAAGTCAACAATGTGTAAAACTAATCTAATTATTCCTGGAAATAGATAATAGTACCTCAGATATAATTAACTGAATTTATCTGACTAACTATTTTAAATAACTATTAAATTGATTCGGTTGGCTCCACCCATCTAGTGACGTTGCCGATCGCACCACCATTCTGTTGTGGTGGGGCGATCAGGCAATATATTCATCGCGCATCGGGTTAGCATCATTGATGTAGGGTTT